TTATTGAGAAAAGCTTTGCTTCCATTTTCTCTTTCTGTTCTCACTTTTCCTTTTTTCTCTTCCTTCTTTTCCTCCCTCGTGCTTCTTCCCATTTGAATATTTTCTTCCTGTGTCACATAGTCTATTATAAATCACAATCTTTATTTATACTTTCTATTTGTCACAAGAGGGAAATAACACATTATTTGCACACGTGTGTTCAATTTACTTCATGTAAGAGTATGGTCTCCAGGTACATCCTTTTCCTTAGAAATAGATCAAGTTTGTCCTTCTTTATGGCTGAGTAATGAAATGGTACATTAAAAAACACCTCTCGGGCCAGAGATTAAGCTCAGTGGTGCCGTTGTTTGCCTCACAAGCACAAGGTCCTGAGTTTTATTCCTGGTACATAATAATTATAATAATAACCAAATATGTAAAAATGCATCTTTTATATCCATTCATCAGCTGAATGACGTTTGTCCAAGATTTAGCTATTACAAACTATAAACTTGAATGTCCATATGTAACTGCCATGCGATGCTTTTAATTCTTTCAGGAAGACACTGAGAAGTGGGGTAGCTAGCTCAAATGGAACCTCTAATCCTAGTGTTTTGAGGAATCCGCCCACTGATTTCCACAGTGGTTGCACCAATCTACACTCCCCCCAACAGTGGAGAAGGGCTCCTTTTTCCAAACAGCCCCACCAGCATTTTTACTGGCTGATTTCTTCATAGAAAGCTTCTGTCTAAGAGAGACAGAAGGGGGACCTGAAAATGGATTCCCACCCACCATGGTTTTCAAAGATGTGGTTTCTTTTTGTGTCATAGGGACCGAACTGGGGACCTTGTGCTTGTGAGGCAGGCAACAGAATCACTGAGCTAAATCCTCGGCCCTTGGCTGATTTCTTGAAATAGCCATTCTTTCTCGAGTGAGGTCACTGCTTGAATTTACAACTCAAATCACCCATTTTTGCTTCTTTTTCAAGAAAGTGTGTATTCACCTCGGATGACTAATTTTGGACATTGTCTTTAAATTCCGGGCATTTGATTTTTTCCTGTTCTTTATAAATCTTAGGTAGTCATCTCTTGTCTGAGGAACAGCTGGAAAAGAACGTTTTTCTACTGTTTGTTGTCGCTTCACTCTCAGTGATTGCTTTTGCTGTACAATCCCTTTTGAATAAGATGAAATATCACGTCTTGATTTTTTAAAATACTTCCTGTGCTGTTGGGATTTTGTTCCTAAAATGTCTGCCTACATCTATGCCATCTATGTCACGAGTTCCACCTATCTTTTCTTTCAGCACATTTAGTGTTTCCGTATCAGTATTAGGATTTTTTTTAACCATTTTGACTTTAGCTGAGTGCGTGGTGAGTGGCATGGATCTAGTTTCGGTCTTCAGCACATAGTTATTGTTAACTGTTGGCCCAGCAGTGTTTATTACAAGGGCTGTCTTTCTTCCAGTGAAAATAATGGGTCGCTTGTCAAAGGAAAGGCAGCTGACTATGTTTGGAGTATTTTTGCATTTCCTAATCTGCTCCACTTGACCTTGAGTCTACCTTATTTACTATACTTTAAAAAATCATACATATAGCAGTAGCTTTGCAGTATTTTTTAATTTACAAATTGTGATGCTCACTGCCTTCCCTTTGTTGTCCAGAATTTTTTTTTCTATTTTAGGTACTTCTGGTTCCAAATGAATTTTAGAAATGTTTTCTCTAGTTCTAAGAGGTATTCTGGTGACATTTTACTTGGGATTGCATTAAATCTGTATATCAATTTTGGGAGTATGGCCATTGTTTAATATGCTGTTTCATCCTACCCACAAGCCAGGGTTATCTTTCAATATTCTGGTATCCTCTTTGATAGCTTTTTTCATAGTACTGTAATTTTCAGTGTAAAGATCTTTTACTTCCTTTGTTACATTGATTCCTAAGTATTTCACTTTTTTGACACTTTTGCAAAAGTTGTGGTTTCTCTACATTCTCTTTCAGTAAGTTTATTTCTGTACAAGAATACGATTAATTTTTGAGTTTTGACTCTGTATCAGCTATGCAACTGAATTTGGTTATTAAATCCAGAAGTGTTTAATGGAGCTTTTGAACTGCAGTGATCACACTCAGCGTGGCAAATGACACACATATATCTTCAGCTCTCTCCCAGCTCCTCCCCAACCTACCCTCTCCGTCTTTCCAGCCCTTTCTCACCTCTAGAGACTATGCCTCCACCTCTCATGTTTAGTATCCTTGAAATCATTAACTTTCTCTTCACATAGATGCACAAACTGTTCGCATACGTTTGTCCTCATATTCATTTTATGACACACGAAGAAATACGGAGCTTCAGGAGTCAGGTGATGGAATATTGTTTTCACTTCAGTATTTCCAGTCTGGTAATCCTAAGAGGTTACATCAAGTGGTAGTGTAAAGTCAATACCTGGACAGCAACATTTCAAATGTTTGTTCAAATTTCTAGTACATATTTAAAAATTCTCTCCAGACGTATCCCTCCACTTGAGCTACAGGCTCCTTCTCTTCTCACTCGAGGCAGAAATACTCAAAGAATATCATCCCACACTTTCCTCTCACATTTTTTGACATCAACCCAACGAATTATATTACAGTTCAGTATATGTAAATGATTATACGTGTGAGCTTTGCGTTCAGTTTCCAGTCATGGTTGACAGTTGTTTCTATTATCACAAGTCAAAGCTCTTCTAATTTCTTCTTTTTTAAAAAAGTAGGAAAAAATTTACTGAGGGAAAGAAAGCTTCTGTCTAAGAGAGACAGAGGGGCACTAGAAAGTGGTTTGCCCCTCTGCTCCTAATTTCAGTTTATCAAATTCTGCTGCTTAATGACCTGGAGAATAGTAAAAATGCACCACTAAGGTATGGCAAGCTTGGTTAAGTTCTTGCTTATAATATTTTCTGAAACTAGCAGGTGTTCAGAATCCAGTCATATCCAGCTCTTGAGTTCATCCATATTTCCCTAATAAAATATCTCTATGTCTTCCTTGTCCACAAATTTATTCCTATGATACCAAATCTACCTCACACATAAAAGAGATTTTTCAGTACTTGAAATAGACCATAGGCACTCTTGCATTCTGTTTACTTAGCATGTTAGGTTTGAATTACTACTTTTCTGAGAAAATTTACCTTATTTTAAAAATATTATTATTTCTTGAGTATACAAGAAAACAAATATGTTTTCCAAGACCTCTGATGTTTTTGTTCCCTTAGCCTATTATTCTGTTTTTAAGTAAATTGGATAAAAATGGAAGAGAAAGCACATAGGGCTATGTTGTCATAAACTTATTATGTGAATTATAAATTCGTGTAGAAATAACATATGTTCTAGGTGCAGTTGATGATCATGAGCAAACATTGATCTTCTTTAGTAGCAAAGATAAAAGGTGGAGACTCGGAGCAGCGTCTCCATGTATGAAACTGTGTTTGAAATCTTAGTCCACGTGCTTTGCACATGGACATATCTACCTGCATCTCCCTGTGGGATACTTATAATTTCATTCACACCTCAGTGAAAAATGAAGAAACAGTAATCCAACTCACAGTTGTCCTATTAGAAGAAAAGAGTGGCCCCAAATTGAAAAACACATTCATCAAATTCTGTGAGGTCCCAGTCTATATTTTTGGCCACTGAATTAGATAACAATTCTCTGTGGTAATTGTAAACCATTAAAATTAAGGTCAATTCACATCCGTGGTCTCTAACCAAAGATACACTGAAGGGTTATATTTTCTCCGCTTTAGGTAATATTTATAGAATATTGTGTTATACTTATGCCCGGAAGATGCAATTTCTCATTCTAAATAGGAGCCTTAAGGGTAGGGAAGAGATAATAAGGCAAAAGAAAAAATATGACAAAATGAAGAAATGGAAATAAAGTGTTCATAAATGGGGAGGGGAGGAGGGGGTGAAGGGAGGGCATGGACAAGGGGAAAAAATGAGAACTAAGACCAGTTATGCAAAGGTACAAGATCCCAATAATGAACGCAAATGTACTGTATACCTTAAATGTACCAATAAACTCAATAAAATATCATCAAGAGGATTTGAAAATTCAGCAAAAAAATAGACAGAAAACTCTAAATTTGTTACAAAAAGGCAGCACAAAAATTACTTTGAGAGATTGTGTGTATTTTCCAGGCAAGTCCCCAAAACAGGTGAACAGAAAGAACAGAGAAAAATGACAGTGAAATTTGGCTCAGCTGTCAGGAAATCAACCTTTCCTGAACTCCTTCCCTCAGTACTTCTGGAGAATGAGGTTCTGTCCTCCTGGGATTAGATTGACACTGAAATCGCTGTTTTAATAAGGACAACTGGATATTGATCACCTGGGGATAAAGAGGATATAGGAGTTGTCTAGTCAGAACATCACAAAACATCGCTGCTCCTGTCAGGGAGCAAGATCTGAGCCTCTTCTGAGAGATGCTCACTCCTGACCAGGGTCCCACTGCCTCATTTCCCGAGGACACACTGTCCGTCTTCAGTTTTCAGGTAAAGTATTCGACATCATTTCAATTAAAATCAAACAGGGAGCACAAAGTTTAGTCAATGTGTTTTGGAAATGATGCAGATGTTTCTGTAATTTCACATAAGGGAGGAAAAGGAGAGAAACGCGTAAGTTAATGAGAAGAATCCACTGTGGCTCTGCTCTTCACTCTTTCTCTCTCCACTCATTGTCACTTGTGAGAGGAAAAGATTCACCTACTGTTAAATTTAAAATGTCTGTGACACTGTATCATTGTCTGCAAAGCAGCTACTCAGATGAGTCACTTCCACAAGTAGAAAGGGCCATGAGAGGTAAAATTTGGAATCAATTCAGGACATCAAGGGAGCCATAAGAACACAGATAAAATCACTCATGAAATTGGCCTCACAGCAGTGCTTTAGAAATTGACAAGAATTTGTGTTTGAAGTGAGAGTAACATTAGAATGGTTATTAAGTGCAATGTGTCTCATATTGTAATAAAAAAATTAATCTTTCAGATGGTCAAAAGCTGTGGAGGACAGGAAGGGGAGTCGCTTAGACTAAAGATATGTCACGGAAAGGAAAAGCAGACATTGTACATGATAAGCATGGGTCAAGATTAATTCGGAATGAAAATTGCTATGAGGAATGAGAGGAGCGTGGTGAGAGGTGACGGAATAGAAGAGGATTACAAAAGAACAAGCTGTGTTATGTACATGTTCACACTTCCAAAGATGATTGCAAAATGTATCTACTTCAAACAGGTACTAATAAAAGTGAAAAGTAATCATTCACTGTATTTTTAGTAAGAGTCCTCATGAATGTGCAGGTACTGAGTTCCTTCTGCTGGCCTAATATTTTGCCCAAGTACAAGTCTAATGTCCTTTAGACCAAACACCTGCTCATTCTGTGATAGAATAACTAATAGAAGATAATTTACCATTTACTGTGCTTTGCTTCTAGAGTTAGAACAGGGAGGTCGGTGACTATTGTAGTCCCTAGGGACGATGTAAAAATGGCACAAAATGGTTGGATTATCAAGAGGACATTATTTCTTCACAATTGTGAAGGCAGAATTTTGAAGATCATGGTGTCCGTAGGATGCTTTTCTGACACATCCTTCTCTTACAGTCCCTCTCCAACATAGCTTTTAATCCTTTCCCCAATTCTTTTTAGTCAGATCAAGCACACATGGAAGCTAGAAATCAAACACCTGCCTTGGAATTCCTTCTCCTGGGACTCACAGAGGACCCTGGCCTACAGCCTCTTCTTTTCAGCCTGTTCCAGTCCGTGTATCTGGTCACCATCCTGGGAAACCTGCTCATCATCCTGGCCGTCAGCTCTGACTGCCACCTCCACACCCCCATGTACTTCTTCCTCTTCAGCCTGTCCCTTACAGACATTGGTTTAAGCTCAAGCACAGTCCCAAAGATGCTGGTGAACATTCATGCGGAAGATCAGAGAATCTCTTACCCAGGCTGCATCACCCAGGTCTGTTCAGTCCTGGTTTTCAGTGGACTGGAGACTTGTCTCCTTTCAGCAATGGCCTATGACCGCTACGTGGCCATCTGCCATCCCCTCAGGTACGCAGTCATCATGAGCACCCGTATGTGTGTTTCACTGACTCTCTTCTCCTTGGCTGTTAGCATCCTGAATGGACTGATTCACAGTCTGTTGGTGCTGAGGCTGTCTTTCTGCACAGAGATAATAATCCCCCAGTTCTTCTGTGAACTTACCCAGATCCTCAGGCTCACTTGTTCTGATACCCTGATTCACAACATAGTAATGTATGTTTCAACTTGCATCTTTGGTGGTGTTCCTGGGCTTGGAATCTTGTTTTCTTACATTCATTCACATTGTGTCATCGATCCTGAGAATGCCATCATCAGAAAGAATGCATAAGGGCTTTTCCACCTGTGGCTCTCACTTGTCCGTTGTCACCTTGTACTATGGGACAGGTTTGGGGGTGTACTTTAGCTCTGCAGTGACTGATTCACCCAGAAAGACTACAGTGGCTTCACTGATGTGTTGTGTGGTCCCTCAAATGCTGAACCCCTTCATCTACAGTCTGAGGAACAGGGATATGAAGGAAGCCTTGAGAAAACTCCTTTGCAGAAGAGCGTCTCTCCTTTGATCTGCTGTGTGCTCTCTACTTCAGTTTCCAGAGGGAGCCGTAGGGACCGGAGTCCTGGTGAGATGGAACAGCTGACCCGTAACTCACTATGTGATGAGGTCGTCTAGTAGCCACGCACTTTTAAGTATGGATCAGTGTGAGACTTTGTTTTTGTCTAGCTCTGTCACGTGATGTGTGACATCTGATTTAAATTTTTGAACACAGACATTTTATTAGTATACATTTGCACCACGTAATACTTACATTTTTTCTGGGAAACCGGGACAGTGGCACATGGCATTTTGATCATCTTTCACTGTATTTATTGGTTCTGTTTAGGTATACAGCACAGTTACATTCATCATTGGAATCTTGTACCTTTACATGAAAGTCTTGGTTCTCATTTTCTCCTCATAACCCTGCCCTCCCTTCACCCCCTCTTCTCTTCCCTATTTTCAAAACTTTATTTCCAGTTTTTCATTTTCTCAGATATTTTCTTTTCCTGTATTACTTTTCCCCTACACTTGTCACTTCCCCGACACCTTTACTGGAAATAGATGTGGTTTTTCTATTAAATGGAATACACCTCAGCCACAAAGAATGAGAAATTAGAGTCATTCGTAGGAAAAGGATGCATACTGAGGCCATACGCCTAAGTGAAATGAAAATGTCACTCATGGTAAATACTGAATAGTTTCTTTGGTGTGAAAAACTATGATTGCAAATGAGATCCTAGTGCTACAAGTGTATGCATTTTCTACCATTATCTCATACCCTTAAATTTCATTCTTATACTCATTTCTCTGACCTCTAATTGTAAGAATCAGAAAGCCCAAGAAGTTCTCTCAGACTGCAGTGGTTTTCCTCCTGGGTCCCTCTGTATCACGTGCCTTTAGGAGCCTTCTGCAATTTGCGCCAAGTCATAGCTGTAGGAGCAAAAATGGGTGATGACAGTGGGTCCGTCAGCATCAACTTAATACAATTTCGGAAAAATTCAAAATTATATTTGCATCGGGAATGGCCACTCGTTTTCATAGGCAACACACGACTGATTTAATCCGAAACAGGAGCAGCTTTCTACACCATGAGCACGGGGTGTCCCACCAATGAGGGTGGGGAATTCCCTTCCTCTGGGAAAATAATCTCACCGGAATTCAGAAGGTTAATATGCCTGCCTCATTAGGTTTCTCCCAAACATCCCCATCTTAATTGAGAGAATCCCAGTCCTTTTTGATCAGCACCCCAACTTAATATCCTGTACAATTCGAGGCTGAATTTGAAACTCGCATTGCACTTTAGCCACCCAAATTATGGAGGCTTCTTTTTGGTTTTTTTGAGCAACTTTATCCTTATGGCTAACGGAGAGAAAATTCTCCTCCAGGACCCTTTGAAAGTCAGATTATTTATGAGTGTCTGGAGCTGGGAATTTGACTCTTTTTTTTCTCAGTGAGTTTATTGGTACATTTTAAGTATACAGAACAGTTCCATTCATCATTGAGATCTTGTACCTTTACACGATACATCTTGCTTCTTATTTTTTCCCATTACCCCTGCCCTCCCTTCACCCCCTTCTCTCTTCCCTATTTACAGATAATTTATTTCCAGGTTTTCATTTTCTCAAGTTTTTTAATCTTTTCCTTTCTTTCCTTTCCCTCCCCTTCCCACTTCCCTACACATTTAGCCCTTTTCTTCCTATTTCACATTGTCAGTTAAACCACTTGGTTCTTATTTACACTTTTAGTTTTTCACCCTGGAGAAACTACTAGGTATTTACACGTGTGAATTATTTATTTCCCTTAAGAGCATGACCTCAGTATGCATCTATTTTCCTATGAGTGACTAAGTTCTCATGCTTTATGACTGAGTAGTATTCCATTTCATAGAAAGACCACATCTTCTTTATACAGTCTCCAAGTGATGGGCAATTGGGTTGTTTCCAAGTTTGAGCTATTACAACTGTGCTGCTATAAACATGGGCGTGCATATATCACTATGGTATGATTCTTTTAATTCTTCTGGACAGAGACCTAGCAAAGGGAATTTCAATATTTGAGAGCCTTCTTTTCCTCTGTGCCTTTCTCTTCACACATATTAAGCATTTTTAATGATTGTTGTGTGCAGTGTATGATTTTCCCATTTGGGCTTTTCTAGAAATGCTGAGAAACCAGCCAGGACCATTGTATTGCTTCATCTCCAAAAAACTTCAGAGGTGTTGCATACAAAGCTTAATCTCATTGACTCGCACAACTGGACCATCAGGACAATCAAATGGCTTTATATTTCCTATTATTTAAACAGTTCACATCCTCAGTACTCTGCACATCATCAGAAGGAGAGACCATGGCCACTGTAGGTGTCCTCAAATTAGGAAGCCAGCTGTAGCAGCCACTAAGCTGATTAGACAGCTTTGTCCTTACATTCTGTTACTGTAGAACAGCTCCTGGTGCAAAAGCCTGTATGAGTTAGGGTTCTCTAAAGCAACAAAAATACATGTGTAAAGTTATACAAGAGGATATCTTAGCTGGCCTTAGAGGATCAGAGACAGAAGACTCAATGGCTATCTGAAGGATCACAGGTAGAAGAATCCAAAATTTCCATCTGTGGCTTAGTGAAACAGAGAATCCAGCAGCAGTCAGGGGTCAAAGGCTTGGAAATTGGCTATGCAGTCACAGGTGCACGTGTACAATGGAAAGCTGGAGAGTCTTAACTGAGAGGCTTAAGATATGGGACCAGTGTTCAAAGGCAATAGCACAGGCTGGAGCTCTTCCAAAATAGGAAATCTCTATTCTTCTTCCCCTGTTTATTCTGTGCTGCCTACAAGCCATAAACACATGCCACAGATTGAGCAGCTTAACCACGGTCCTGCTAGCCAAATGGCAAAACTCAAGATGTCCAACAGGAAGCTTATTAAACACATACCTGTTTTACATTGCTGCTACTGTTTTATATATTAGCTTTTTACCACTTATTTTCCATCAGATTCTTCAGCACCATCCAAACTGGAAATAAATCAGCTCTTTCAGAAATCTGCCTCTTGGCTCTGACACATAATGTGAAACTGCAGCCTTTTATCTTCAGCTTCCTGCTATCCACGAAGCTGCTAATCATACTGGGAAACCTATTCATCCTCCTAGCCAACCTCCCTGATGCTTCTCTACACAGCCCCTTGTATGTCTTTCTTGCTATGGTGTCTTTTGCTAACAGGCATTTAAACTCAAGCACCATTCCCAAGCAGAGCCCGATGAACAGCCAAACTCAAAATCAGAGAATTAATCACCCAGGCTGACTACTCAGGTCAGGTTAATCTTATTTTTTTCAGCTTTAATTGAGTTGATTGATACATTTTAGGGGTACAGTACAGTTACATTCACTGTTGGCATCTTGTACCTCTACATGGCGAGTATTGCTTCTCATTTTTCCCCTTGTCCCCGCCCTCCCTTCACCCCCACATTTTTTTCTTTTCCCTTATTACCCTTCCCCTACCCCTCCCACCATCCTTGCACCTTTAGCTCCTTTCTTCCCATTTATCAATGTCAGTAATCTTATTAGGATCTTTTGTATTACTGCAGATTATTCATACCAGAGAAACTCTTCAGTATTTACACATGGGTGCCTTATTTATTTCACTGAGGATTATATCTTCAATATGTATCCATTTTCCTATGAATGCATCTATTCTCTCGCTCTTTATGGCTGAGTAATATTCCATTTTATAGAATAACCACATCTTCTTTATCCAGTTTCCAAATGATGGGCAAATAGGCTGTTTCCAAGATTTAGCTATTACAAACTGTGCCACTATAGACATGGGTGTGCAACTTCTCTGTGATATGATTCTTTTAGTTCTTTTGGAAAGATACCCAGCAGATGGATGGCTGGGTCAAATGGAATCTACAGTTCAAGCTCTTTGAGGTTTCCCCATATTGATTTCCACAGTGGTTGCACCAGTCTGCACTCCCACCAACAATGGAGAAGGGTTCCTTTCTCCCCACAACCCCGCCAACATTTTTTATTGTGTGATTTCTTGATAGCAGCCATTCTTTGTGGGGTGAGGTGGAAATATCAGTGTTGATTTTATCTGCATCTCTCGAATGATCAGTGATGTGGAACATTTTTTCACATATTTACTTGCTGCTTTTACTTCTTTGTCTGAGAAATGTCTGTTCATTTCAGATGCCCATTTTAGAATCCTGTCTTTATATATGGGATGGTGATTGCTTTGAGTTCTTTATACTTTCTAGATAATAGTCCTTTGTCTGAGGAACAGCTGGTAAAAATTTCTTTCCCACATTGTAGGTTGTCTCTTAGTTCTGCTGATGGTTTCTTTTGAAGTACAGAAGCTTTTTAATAAGATGAGACCCCAGTTAAATTTTATTTTTTGATGGCTGCTAAAACTGTCTCCTTACAGTGACAGCCGTGGCTGCTATGGGAGAATCTGCTTCCACTTAGGAGTGCAGCGAGCATGATCCCCACATCCTTGTCTGTCCTGCTCCGCTCTCATGGGTCACCAGCCTTGCGCATGGCCTGCTCACACTGTGATGGTGCTGTAGCCGTGCACTGCAAGGACCTGTGAATCCTGACCGTCTTCTCTTACTTGATCAGATCATCAAATTTGCCTGTACCGAGTTCCTTATGGATGAATCACATCCTGCTATGTGTTGCATCTTACTTATTTGCTGGTATTTTTTTCCTTGGAATTTTTGTGTCTCATATTCATATTTTGTCCTCTGTCTTGAGAATAATGCCATCCAGAGAAAAGTAAAAAGCCTTTCTTACCTGTGGTTCTCAGCTGAGGGTTGTATCCTTGGTCCACGGGACAGCTATTCCCCTGTGCATGAGTGCTGCTGAGCCTCCTTTGGGAGGACATGGTGTGATCAAGGCTGTAGTCTGTGTCTCTGAGGTGCTGAATCCCCTCTGTGATGTCATTCACTATGCACTTAGGATTCTACAGTAAGTCACAGTGACTGGCCTCCTGGTGAGCCAACTGCCTGACTCTGTTATCACATTTCTTCTCCAGCGATGGGAACGCATAAGAACCATACACATTGTTACTTGGCTGGAAACCTGTATCTTTCCTTACTCTCTCTAGTTCAGTCATGCGCTGTTTGACATTCTCAGCGTGTTTTTTTTTTTTTTTCCGCTAGTGCCCCAGAAGCAGAGGCTGATGTGGGGTTCTAGATTTAAAAACTTGTTTCTTGATGCTAAACTATCATACAAGGTAAGTCAGTGTAGGACAGGCAGATATGGAAATCATCTATGCCAATATCTTCAGACGGCAAGTATTTCACACAAGTGAGCTCGTTGCTTAGCCTTTAGTATTGAGTAAGCATTTAAAGTCCCTGGAATAGAACAGCTGTTGAAGTGTCCAGGCTTACTTTGCTCAAAGTCTTTTACTAATAGGCTCATTCATGAAATTTATTTTAATTTCCATGTTATCAAACTTGTCTTCTCCTCCTTCTCACAGAGCACCTTTCTGTAAGGACTTCGTTGCTCTTGTTACCACACCCAGGGTCTAGCGCTTTGGAGGCACTCAAGAAATGGTTACTGAGTGGGCATCTGCTATGTGCTCTGCTTATCCTGCCTTTTACATTTTTTGTTGTTATGTGTTTGTGAATTACGGTGATCACACTGAGCATGGGAAATGATACACAGACGACTTCCTCACTCTCCCAGGACCTCCCCAACCTAACCTCTCCGTCTTTCCAGCCCTTTCCCAGGGCTAGAGACTATGCCTCTGCCCTTTGTGTTCAGTGTCCTTGAAATCTTTAACTTTCTCTTCACATAGATGCACAAACTGTCCACATACCTTTGTCCTGATATTCATTTTAGGACACACGAAGAAATGCGGAGCTTCAGGAGTCAGGTGATGGAATCCTGTTTACATTTCAGTATTTCCAGTCTGCTAATCCTAAGAGCTTACATCAAGTGGTAGTGTAAAGTCAACAGCACAGCTTGGCATCAGCATTTCAAGTGTGTGTATACATTTCTCTTAAACATTCTCCCCAGACTTATCCCTCTACTTGAGTTACAGGCTCCTTCTCTTCTCTCTCGAGGCAGAAGTACTCAAAGAATGTCATCCCACACTTTTCCTCTCACATTTTTTGACATCAACCCACCCAATTGTATTACAGTTTAGTGTATGTAAATGACTATACATGTAAGCTTTGTGTTCAGTTTCCAGTCACGGTTCACAGCTGTTTCTATTATCACAAGTCAGGGCTCTTCTAATTTCTTCTTTTTAAAAAAAGAATAGGAAAAATTTTATTGAGGGAAAGAAAGTTTCTGTCTAAGAGAGACAGAAGGGGGACCAGAAAGTGGCTTCTCTGTCTGCTCCTAATTTCAATTTGTCAACTTCTGTTGCTTAATGACCTGGAGAATAGTAAAAATGCACCACTAAGGTATGGCAAGCTTGATTATGTTCTTGCTTATAATATTTTCTGAAACTAGCAGCTGTTCAGAATCCAGTCATATCCAGCTCTGGAGTTCATCCATATTTACCAAATAAAACATCTCTATGTCTTCCTTGGCCACAAATTTATTCCTATGATACCCAATCCACCTCACACATAAAAGGGATTTCTCAGTTCTTGAAATACACCATAGGCCCTCTTGCATTCTGTTTACTTAGCATGTTAGGTTTGAATTATTACTTTTCTGAGAAAATTTACCTTATTTTAAAAATATTATTATTTCTTGACTATACAAGAAAACAAATATGTTTTCTAAGACCACTGATGTTTTTGTTCCCTTTGTCTATTATTCTGTTTTTTTAAGTAAATTAGATTAAAATGGAGGAGAAAGAGCACATAGGGCTATCTTGTCATAAACTTATTTTGTGAATTATAAATTCGTGTAGAAATAACATATGTTGTAGGTGCAGTTGATGATCATCAGCAAACAATGAGCTTATTCAGTATCAAAGACGACGAAAGGTGGAGACTCGGAGAAGCGTCTCCGTATATGAAACAGTGGTTGAAATCTTAGTCCACGTGCTTGGCACATGGACATATCTGCCCACATCTCCCTGTGGGAATCCTGTAATTGCATTCACACCTCAGTGAAAAATGAAGAAATAGTAATCCAACTCACAGTTGTCCTATTAGAAGAAAAGAGTGGCCACAAATTGAAAAACGAGTTCAACAAATTCTGCAAGGTCCCAGTCTATATTTTTGGCCACTGAATCACATAGCAATTCTCTGTGATAATTGTAAAACATTAAAATTAAGGTCAATTCACATCCATGGTCTCTAAACAAAGACACACTGAAGGGTTACATTTTCTGCACTTCAGCTAATATTTATATAATATTGTGTTATACTTATGCCCGAAAGATGCAATTTCTCATTCAAAATAGGAGACTTAAGGGTAGAGGAAATGTAATAAGGGAAAAGAAAAAATATGACAAAATGAAGAAATGGATATAAAGTGTTTGTAAATGGGGAGGGGAAGAGGGGTTGAAGGGAGGGCAGGGACAAGGGGAAAAAATGAGAACCAAGACCTATCACGTAAAGGTACAAGATCCCAATAATGAACGTAATTGTACTATATACCTTAAATGTACCAATAAACTCAATAAAAATCAATCAATAAATAAAATTGCAAGAGGTTTGAAAATTCAGCAAAAAGAAATAGAAAACTCTAAATTTATTACTAAAAGGCAGCACAAAAATTACTTTGAGAGATTGTGTGTGTATTTTCCATGCACGATCCCCAAAACAGGTGAACAGAAACAACAGAGAAAAATGATGGTGAAATTTGGCTCAGAGGTCAGGAAATCACCCTTTCCTGAACTCCTTCCCTCAGTACTTCTGGAGAATGAGGTTCCGTCCTCTTGGGATTAGACTGACACTGAAATCGCTGTTTTAATAAGGACAACTGGATATTGATCACCCGGGGATAAAGAGGATATAGGAGTTGTCTAGTGAGAACATCACAAAACATCGCTGCTCCTGTCAGGGAGCAAGATCTGAGCCTCTTCTGAGAAATGCTCACTCCTGACCGGGGTCCCTCTGGCTCATTTCCCGAGGACACACTGTCCGTCTTCAGTTTTCAGGTAGAGTATTCCACGTCATTTGAATTGAACCCAAACAGGGAGCACAAAGTTTAGTCAATGTGTTTTGGAGATAATGCAGATGTTTCTGTAATTTCACATAAGGAGGAAAAGGAGAGAAATGCATAAGTTAATGAGAAGAACATCGACTGTGGCTCTGCTCTTCACTCTTTCTCTCTCCACTCATTGCCACTTGTGAGAGGAAAAGATACAGCTCCTGTTAAACTTAAAATGTCTGTGACACTGTATCATTGTCTGCAAAGCAGTTACTCAGATGAGTCACTTCCACACATACAAAGGGCCATGAGAGGTAAAATTTGGAATCACTTCAGGACATCAAGGGAGCCATAAGAACACAGATTAAAACAATCATGAAATTAGCCTCACAGCACTGCTTTAGAAATTGACAAGAATATGTGTTTGAAGAGAGAGGAACATTTCAGTGGTTTTTAAGGGTAATGTGCCTCATATTATACTATTAAAAATTAATCACTCAAAAGGTGAAAAGGTGAGGAGGACGGTAAGGGGAGTCACCTAGAATAAAGATATGCCATGTAAAGGCACCTAATGTCCTCAGGCAAAGCAGGCATTGTACACCACAAGCGTGGGTCAAGATTAATCAAGAATGAAAATTGCAATGAGGAATTAGAGGTGGATGGTGAGAGGAGGAGGGAGAAGAAGGGGATTAAAAAACAAAGCTGTGTCATGTACAGGGACACACTCCCAAAGATGATTGGAAAATGTATGTACTGCAAACAGGCACTAATAAGGAAGTAAAAAGTAATCATTCAAATGGCACAAAACGGTTGGATTCACAAGAGGAAGTTATTTCTTCACAGTTGTGAAGGCAGAATTTTGAAGATCATGGTGTCCACAGGATGCTTTTCTGACACATCCTTCTCTTACAGTTCCTCTCCAATATAGCTTTTAATCCTTTCCCCAATTCTTTTTAGTCAGATCAAGCACACATGGAAGCTAGAAATCAAACACCTGTCTTGGAATTCCTTCTCCTGGGACTGACAGAGGACCCCGAGCTGCAGCCCCTCATCTTCAGCCTGTTTCTATCCGTGTACCTGGTCACCATCCTGGGAAACCTGCTCATCATCCTGGCCGTCAGCTCTGACTGCCACCTCCACACCCCCATGTACTTCTTCCTCTTCAGCCTGTCCCTTACAGACATCTGTTTAAGCACAAGCACAGTTCCAAAGATGCTAGTGAACATTCACGCGGAAGACCAGAGAATCTCTTACCCAGCCTGCATCACCCAGGTCTGTTCAGTCCTGGTTTTCAGTGGACTGGAGACTTGTCTCCTTTCAGCAATGGCCTATGACCGCTACGTGGCCATCTGCCATCCCCTCAGGTACGCAGTCATCATGAGCACCCGTATGTGTGTTTCACTGACTCTCTTCTCCTTGGCTGTTAGCATCCTGAATGGACTGATTCACAGTATGTTGGTGTTGAGGCTGTCTTTCTGCACAGAGATAAGAATCCCCCAGTTCTTTTGTGAACTTGCCCAGGTCCTCAGGCTCTCTTGTTCTGATACCCTGGTTCACAACATAGTAATATATGTCTCAACTTGCATCTTTGCTGGTGTTCCTGTGCTTGGAATCTTGTTTTCTTACATTCACATTGTGTCATCGATCCTGAGAATGCCATCATCAGAAAGAATGCATAAGGGCTTTTCCACCTGTGGCTCTCACTTGTCCATTGTCATCTTGTTCTATGGGACAGGTTTGGGGGTGTACATTAGCTCTGCAGTGACTGATTCACCCAGAAAGACTGCTGTGGCTTCAGTGATGTATTGTGTGGTCCCTCAAATGCTGAACCCCTTCATCTACAGTCTGAGGAACAGGGATATGAAGGAAGCCTTGAGAAAACTCCTTTGCAGAAGAGCGTCTCTCCTTTGATCTGCTGTGTGCTCTCTACTTCAGTTTCCAGAGGGAGCCGTAGGGACTGGAGTCCTGGTGAGATGGAACAGCTGACCCGTATCTCACTATGTGATGAGGTCGTCTAGTAGCCACGCACTTTTAAGTATGGATCAGTGTGAGACTTTGTTTTTGTCTAGCTCTGTAATGTGATGTGTGACATCTGATTTCAATTTTTGAACGCAGACATTTTATTAGTATACATTTGCACCACGTAATACTTACATTTATCTAGGGAAACTGGGACAGTGGCACATGGCATTTTGATCATCTTTCACTGTATTTATTGGTACTTTTTAGGTATACAGCACAGTTACATTCATCATTGGGATCTTGTACCTTTACATGAAAGTCTTTGTTTTCATTTTTTCCTCATATCCCTGCCCTCCCTTCACCCGCTCTTCCCTTCCCTATGTTCAAAAACTTTATTTCCGTTTTTTCATTTTATTTTTTTTCTTTTTACTTTTTTCAGCTTTAATTGAGTTTATTGGTACATTTTAGGGATACAGTACAGTTACATTCATTGTTGGGAATTTGTACCTCTACATGACAGGTCTGGTTCTCATTTTTTCCCCTTGTCCCTGCCCTCCCTTCACCCCCTCCTTCCCTCCTCCCCTCCCCATTTACAAACACTTTATTTCCATCTTTTCATTATCTCACATTTTTTTTCTTTTCCCTTATTACCCTTCCCCTACACATCCCACCTTCCCTACACCTTTAGCTTCTTTCTTCCCATTTCTCAATGTCAGTAATCTTATTAGGATCTTCTGTATTATTGCAGATTATTTACACCAGAGAGACTATTCGGTATTTACACATGTGTGTCTTCTTTATTTCACTTACGAGTGTATCTTCAATATCTATCCATTTTCCTATGAATGAATCTATTTTCTCATTCTTTATGGCTGAGTTATATTCCATTTTATAGAAAAACCACATCTTCTTTATCCAGTTTCCAACTGATGGGCAAATGGGCTGTTTCCAAGTTTTAGCTATTACAAACTGTGCCGCTATAAACATGGGTGCGCATACTTCTCTGTGATATGATTCTTTTAGTTCTTTTGGAAAGATACCCAGCAGAGGGATGGATGAGTCAGATGGAACCTCCAGTCCAAGCTCTTTGAGGTATCTCCATATTGATTTCCATAGTGGTTGCACCAGTCAGCACTCCCACCAACAATGGAGAAGGGTTCCTTTCTCCCCACAACCCCGCCAACATTTGTTATTGTGTGATTTCTTGATAGCAGCCATTCTTTGTGGGGTGAGGTGGAATCTCAGTGTTGTTTTCATCTGCATCTCTCGAATGATCAGTGATGTGGAACATTTTCTCATATATTTACTTGCTGCTTTTACTTCTTTGTCTGAGAAATGTCTGTTCATTTTGGATGCCCATTTTTGAATTGGGTCTTTATATTTGGGTGGGCTGATTGTTTTGAGTTCTTTATATATTCTTGATAATAGTCCTTTGTCTGAGGAACAGCTGGTAAAAATTTTTTCCCACATTGTAGATTGTCTCTTAGTTCTGCTGATGGTTTCTTTGGCAGTACAGAACCTTTTTAATAAGATGAGATCCCAGTTTAATTTTATTTTTTGATGGCTTGGTGAAACTGTCTCCTTACAGTGACAGCCGTGGTTGCTATGGGAGAATCTGCTTCCACTTAGGAGTGCAGCAAGCATGATCCCCACATCCGTGTCTGTCCTGTTCCACTCTCATGGGTCACCAGCCTTGTGGATGGCCTGCTCACACTGTGATGGTGCTGTAGCTGTCCTTCTGCAAGGACCTGCAAATCCTGCATGTCTTCTGCATACTTACTCAGATCATCAAATTTGCCTGTCGCAAATTCCTTATGGATGGATCACATCCTGCTATACGTTGCTTCTTACTTATTTGCTGGTATTTTGTTCCTTGGAATTATTTTGTCTCATATTCATATTGTGTCCTCTGTCTTGAGAATAATATCATCCAGAGAAAAGTAAAAAGCCTTTCTTACCTGCGGTTCTCACCTGAGGGTTGTATCCTTGGTCCACGGGACAGCTTTTCCCCTGTACATGAGTGCTGCTGAGCCTCCTTCGGGAGGACATGGTGTCTTCAAGGCTGTAGTCTGTCTCTGAGATGCTGAATCCCCTCTGTGATGTCATTCACTTTGCACTTAGGATTCTACAGTAAGTCACAGTGACTGGCCTCCTGGCGAGACAATTGCCTGACTCTTATCAAGTTCTTTCTCCAGCGATGGGATAACATAAGAACCATACACATTGTAACTGACAAAGAAACAGACCTGAGGATCAGTGGAACAGATTGGAAGACACAATAACAAATCCAGATGTACTCAGCTATGTCCTCTTTGAAAAAGGAGGTGATCATGCCCACTGGAGGAAAGATAACCTCTTTAATAAATGGTGTTGGAAAAACTGGATCTCAACCTGCTAATGATTAAAACTAGACCCTTATCTTTCACCATGCACTAAACTAAAATCCAAGTTGATTAAAGATCTAAATATTAAAACAGAAACACTAAACGTGCTGGGAGATAAGTTCGGCAGAACTCTTGAAGACACTGGCATAGGATTTTATGAACAAATCCTCAGTGGCACAGGAACTAGCAGAAAGAATCAACAACTGGGATCTCCTCTTATTAAAAAGCTTCTACACTGCAAAAGAAACCATCAGCAGAACTAAGAGACAACCTACAATGTGGGAAAAAATTTTACCAGCTGCTCCTCAGACAAAGGACTATTATCTAGAATATATAAAGAACTCAAAACAATCAGCCCCCCAAATATAAAGACCCAATTCAAAAATGGGCATCTGAAATGAACAGACATTTCTCAGACAAAAAAGTAAAAGCAGCAAGTAAATATATGAAAAAATATTCCACATCACTGGTCATGGGAGGGATGCAGATGAAAGCAACACTGAGATTCCACCTCACCCCACTAAGAATGGCTGCTGTCAAGAAATCAACCAATAACAAATGTCGATGGGGATGTGAGGAGAAAGGAACCCTTCTCCATTGTTGGTCGGAGTGCAGACTGGTGCAACCACTATGGAAATCAATATGGAGATACCTCAAATAACTAGGTTTAGAGGTTCCATTTGACTCATCCCTCTGCTTGGTATCTTTCCAAAAGAATTAAAAGAATCATATCACAATGATACATGCACAACTATGCATATAGCAGTACAGTTTGTAATAGCTAAAACTTGGAAATAGCCCATTTGCCCATCAGTTGCAGACTGGATAAAGATGTGGTTTTTCTATAAAATGGAAAACTACTCAACCATAAAGAATGACAAATCAGAGTCATTCGTATGAAAATGTGTGCATATTGAGGTTGTACTCTGTGTTTATCTTTTATCTAGTTGATGTGTCTATTTGTGATATTGGGTTATTGAGGTCCCCCACTACAACTGTCTCAGTGCTTATTTGATTTTCACATCTATTAGTATTTGTTTTATATAGTTAGATGTGCTAGTATTTGCTGTATATGTATTTATGATTGCTATCTCTTTCTCTTGCATTGTTCCCCTACAAGGATGTAGTGACCTTGTTCGTACCTGTTAGGCGGTCTTGACTTGGAATCTACTTTGTCTGCAAATAGAATAGCCATCCCTGCTTTTTTCTTGTTTTCCACATTGAATATTATCTTCCATCCTCTGACTTTCAGGCTATGAATTTCGTTTTTTATTAAATGTTTCTTTTATGCACCATATTGTTGGTTCTTGTTTCTTGATCCATTCTGCTAGTCTATTTCTTTGGATTGGTGATTTGAGACCATTTACACTGAGGGTTATAACTGATATTAATTGACTTATGCTTCACTTGTTATTTTTATGTTATTCCTTTCCTTCTCCCCTTTGTTTGCTTGTCTCACATGGTGGATTCTGTCTGTTGAGGTTCATGGAGTTTTAGTCCTCATTATCTCCTTCTAGAGTGTCTTTCAGCACATTCTGCAGTTCTGGTTTGGTGGTCATGAATTTCTTCTGTTCTTTTTGGTCAAGAAAGTATCTTATTTCTCCATCACTTTTGTAAGATAATTTTGGGTGTACATTGATCTGGTTTGGAAGTTTTCTTTCAGGGCTTGAAATACTTCAAGCTCACCTTGACTTCAGGTTTTGTATTGAGAAGGCTGCTGTGATTCAGATGGGCTTTCCTGTGTAGGTGATTTGTTTCCTTTCTCTAACAGCTTTTAATATTCTGTTCTTGTGTTTAATTTCTGGAACCTTGATTATTATGTGTCTTTATGTAAATTTGTTTTGGTGAAGGTAATGGATGTTCTATACACCTCACTTATCTGTATGATAAACTCTTTTTAACTGCTTGGGAAGTTTTCTGCCTTTACCTCTGTGACAACTTTTTTATGTATTTTGTGCTATCTTCTACTTTTTCATTGACTGATCAAACTTACTTTTCTTAGCATTATCTAGTGGCTATTGGATTGTGGTTTTTTTTCATGTCTTTTTCTTAAGAAATAACTCTTTCCCTGGTCACTAACTGCATTCCTGTCTCATATATCTGATATTCTATGCTCACTTTATCTCATTCTGCTGCATATACTTTCAATGACATTTTAAATCTGGATATCTATTTGAATATTTCATGGTTTCCATTTCATTCATATTCTGGGTGTTCATGTTTTGTGTCATTTTCTTAAGCTCCTCTGTTTTCTTAATGTGTATCTGCTCTGAAGTCACTATGTCTTTCTTTATTGTCACCTCTTCTGTAATTACCTGATAAACTATTTCTGCTTTAATTTTTATCTAGAACCTCATTCATCCACTTTATTACTTCTGCCTTTACCGCTTCAGAGAGTCTATGAGTGTGAGTTTTGAAGTGTTTCATCTCATTTCCCCCTGGGTTTGCCTTGGATAAACTGCATGTTCGGAGTTGCATTTTGCTTAAATGTCTTCTCATTTTCTATTTAACTTCAGTTTCCTATTTAAGTTCCATTTCTGGGTTGATGCTTGTAAATTGCTTATGGCAACTATCTTTATTGCTACTTAGAACATTTATGATATGACTACTCAGAGATGCCCTTCAGGTGTAGCTCCTTTTTTATTTCAGTCTGTTGCAAGGTCCTATGACTTCAGTCATTGAGCTTGAGAAGCTGCTGTCCATATGGCCTGGCCGCTGGTTCTTTGGCACTGGACTATAGTATTGTTTATGACCTGTAGGCTTGCTCAGTCTTGGCACAATAGTGAGAGCATTCTATTAGAACTACTATGTTATCTTGGCTAAAATATTATGATCAGCAACAACGATAGCATCAACTACAGAGAACCACT